TTGATGAAACAAGTTGAAAGTGATTGGAATTTTGTGTGTATGTGTGATGACATCATGCAAAGTCAAAATATGAACAACGGTTCATTTCTATAGGAAATAGTAGTAGAACAAAGTATTTGAAGCAGACTATTGTGGAACTCTTCCGCATCGGAGGTTTAAACGAATGGGATATTTCAATGAAAAATCGACGACTTTATGTTTTGTTGGATTTAAACCTTTTAAAGGTAAGAAACGAAAGTTAGTGATAGAGACTTAAAAGGATGTCCAATGGAAAAAGTTGAAGTGGGCTGCTAATTCATTTAAGCCAGTATTGATTGAAACAAGCAGTTGAAGTCCGGGCAAAAAAGCCCTAATCACATCGAGTTACACTGATCTGAGATCAGGTCCAGTACAATAACTAGATTTAGCTACTTAGGTAGAATTACCTATGTAGCTTTATTTACCTACCTCAGGTAGCTTTATTTAGCTATTTCAATGTAACTTTTCAAAAGTTTTCTTTTTATTAAAAAGAGACAAAAAATCACAAATAAATGACTTTTGATATTTATGCTAGGGAGGCTTTAAAAAAACAATCCAAAGCAGATATAGTTTATACATTGCTGTATTTGAAAAATTTAGAGCAAAACATGTAATTCCATTGCTTGGTTAACTGTCCTCTCTCATACGTGTGGTGAGGCATGGCTGAGTATGATTACTTCACATTGTGCTGAATAATTACCGACCTATTATCGTGTTAACCAGAACTGGACTTCTTTGTCATTTCATTCAAGGAGTAACTGTTCTAACTGTCATACATAGCCCCAAAACTTTAAGAACTTTGATTGTAATTGCGCTGAAAAAGACATTTTTCCAAGCGGGATTTTTTCATGAATTGTTTTAAGATGATTTCAAAGTTGAAAATGATCACTGCATCAAAATATTTTCTGCACATCCTGAGAAAAATGCTTTTTATAGAAATAAATTGATTTGGTAGGTAAATAAAGCTACCTCAGGTGGGTAAATAAAGCTACGTACGTAAATCAAGCTACGTAGCTAAATCTAGTGATTGTATCAGACCTGGAAATGTCGAGCCGGACACCAGACGGTGAGACCTAAATTTTTAGTCCCTTCGACATCTCCCTGAGATTATAGCGACACCAGCTGGTAACGCTGAATTTCAACTTTTCATTAGCTCTGTGCTCTGACTTTCCCCAGCACAAGTCACAATATGAAAGCAGGCGTTAGACTTTAGAGTCTGAGGAATCTCAGAAAGCAAATCTCAAGAATGAGAAACTAATTAATTGTAATGTTAAATTGACCTGATACCTGTTTGCTATCCTGAAATGTTATTTCACACTATGACAAAAGAAAACTAGCATATACAATATTAGAAAATACATTTATTTTTAATGGAAAATCAAATTTTAAAAATTGTGCAAGCTAAGCACAGGGGCTTGTCACGAAATATTTATCTTCTTTTAATAAAGTTACCCCTACTATAAAAATACACAAGGGAGGAATCTAAAAATAGGAAATTCGCTACCACAAATTTTGACCGGACTTTCTATCTTGTTTCTGGGCGACTTTCGTTGCGGACCAAGTAGGAGTGAGTGGAGTATAGATTCAATTTTATTATTCTTCAGTCAAATTCTAATCAACGCGTACCGTTAGTCATATAACTAACCTCTTTTCTCGATATTTGGATCTGGCGACAGTTCTTTCCATATGAATTTCCGGCGTAAATTGAATGCAGAGCTCTGATTGGTTGCTTTCTGTAAATAACTCGTACACAAAGTAGCTCTTTAATTTAGTGCACCAAAACGGAGGGGAAATCAAACTGTCGTGATGACATTGAACAATACAGCTGTCATTTCATTGTACGTATTTTACTATATTTGGTTATATTTATTTATTTAAACATGTTAAATATCCTTCACTAAGCATGTCAATCCTTACAGTTTATATTTTGAGTACGAGTTATCTACAGAAAGCAACCAATCAGAGCGCTGCTTTCAATTGACGCATATGGAAAGAACTGTCGCCAGATCCAAATGGGTGCGTTCACAGTTCTACCATTAGTACCAACTTTCAATATACCATTGGTACAATAATTTGACAATGGTACCAACTGTACCAATAAACCCTGAACGGGTATTGGCATACAAATGTAACAATTTTACCAATGTTACCAATGGGAGTCCAATGGAGACATTGGTAATACTGAATTACAGATTTCTTTGTCTTCTAAGTTATTAGCACATGCCAGAATCGCAAGAAAATCATAGCAGACTCATATCCGACAAACAAACCACATTAGGATCACACTTCTTTAGTTGCCATATCTATGAGTTTTATATAATCCATTTAATGGATCATGTCTAAATCATACTTCAAAATCATGAATATAAGTGTTTGATATGATTTTTATGTGATTTTGGCATGATTTGTTAAAAAGGATTAGAGGAAAAATCGTTTATATCATTGTAAATCCGGGATCCCAGTCTTTCTAGCTTGTTGCCATGTCGATAACTAGCTGTGACGTCATTTACCAACACTAACCACACTCTAGACTGTCTGCAGAAAAATATACCATTGGCAAAAAACATTGGTACCAGTGGCATGCCAATGGTAATTAATTTTACCAACGGCAACTTTTGTCTACCAACGGCAGAACTGTGAACGCACCCATTATCGAGAAAAGAGGTTAGTTATATGACTAACGGTACGCGTTGATTAGAATTTGACTGAAGAATATTAAAATTGAATCTATACTCCACTCACTCCTACTTGGTCCGCAACGAAAGTCGCCCAGAAACAAGATAGAAAGTCCGATCAAAATTTGTGGTAGCGAATTTCCTATTTTTAGATTCCTCCCTTGTGTATTTTTATAGTAGGGGTAACTTTATTAAAAGAAGATAAATATTTCGTGACAAGCCCCTGTGAGCTAAGTGAATTTTTTTCTTCCAACAACTCTTTTCAAAAAGCTACCTAGATTTAAGAGTTGGAGTGCGATTTACCTTTCGTTTTGTCATTTCCAAGATAATTCTATCTATATCTGCATATCAACAATTCCTTCAAATCATCAAAATTATGGCATTTTCTTTTTCATTCATTTAATAACGATAATTCCGCCGATAATCTAGCTTCCGCTATAAACTGCGCCCTCTATTACTGTCATCCGAGCCCGATGCAATTTTAAATATTGCATGAAACAGAATATGGTTGCTTTCAAGGCTGTAAACATTTACAAGACTTGTTAATCAAATTAAGAAAAATTTATAAAAAGTTTTTTAATGTAAGAAATAATTCTTAGTTCGAAATATCATTCAGATTGATCATTTAATTTATTTCACTTATTAAAATATAAAAGTTTTTAGCCTCCAGACTATATTCATATTTCACTTGAGAGAGACACTGCAATTTTGAAAAAAATATAATGTATTTAATTTGATTCTTCAATTTTTTTTATCCCTATAAAAATTAGATTTTAAACATAGGCCTAACATTTGACCTCTAAATTTATATTTTTCCGGAGATCACGTATCCGGTTTCAAAATTACAGTGTGTTTGCAAGCATGGCAGAGGAAAAGGGGTGACCAAAATTGAGAACAAGAAGCCAAACGAAGAAAAAAATAGTGACATTGTGGTGTTCTTAAGTGTGAAAAGTTTTATTCTCATACGGTTTACTTGTGGCATATGTAATAAAGGTTCACATGTGCAATGGACTACGACGATCCGTATGAGAGTCTTCCAAGTACCTCCACTACCACAACGCATATGTTAGCCGGATCGGCAGCTGGTGTCTTAGAACATAGTGTTATGTACCCTGTGGACTGTGTCAAGGTGTGTGTTACAGTGAGATACGGGTCTAGAAGCAAGCAAATGGCTCGTCTTTCTCACAGCATTTGTTTTCTATGTAATGTTGCATAATACGGTAATATTGCGTAACGGCTCTTCCTATGGGCAGGTTGGGCACACACCCCCAAATGGTCATTTAACCCCCGTTTGGTGGTCAATCGCCCATATCGGCGTCTTTATTACCTACCAAATGGGAGAGAAAAATCGTTTTGTTCAGTTCTCTGGAATGACATGAAATGGTGCATAATTTCAACTCACGGGGAATAAAATATAGATATTTTTCTAAACTTTGAACGAAAAAAATCAGAATTTCAACGCGGACTTTTTTGCGCAGTGTCGTTCAAATATTTGACAAAATCGTCACCTATGTAAACAAGTGTTACGTTTCTGTGTTTTAACTTAAAAAGAAAAATTCCCTCCATCTCGCGCGTACTTGCACCTATCAATCGTGTTTATCACTTCATATTTCTGCCATCCGGGCAACCAAATAATTATCTTAACCAATTAAAATTGACGATCTTTTCTGAACTTGGGTCAAAAGACTGATTTAACTATGGAGGCCTATTAGTGTCAATTTTCAAAAAGTAAAATAAGAGGAAGGGTAAGAATTCGCTTTTATTTCCTTTATTTCGTATGCAATGGCTTTATTTTTTACAAAAATACGATATGCAGTGAATTCATGATAAAATAATCGCTCGAAAACTATAATCTTGGAATAAAAACAAGAATAATTGTAAATGTCACTTTGTAAAACTTTATTCAAAAATATTTAATAAATATAGGAGATACATCATAGATATGCATACTAAACCACAAAGGGTCGCACAGAAATCGTAACTTCATCCTAAAAGAAAAAAAAGAATAAATGTTACATTCAAATGTAGAAAATAATGAATATTATTTATAGCAATAAGTGCCCACCATATGAATAAGATATGAGGAGCTCGTGTTTAACGGGATTTTATAGAGATTTATATAGACGCAGATTAAAAGATCATTTGAAAAGTTACTTATCTAGACTAACACCTCTTGTTTAAATATATTTTTTACCGAACTTTACACAACAAAATAATTTTTCGTATTGTTTGAGCAAATAGTTCGGCCATCACGAACAACTGTGGGTTTTGATTTTACGAAGTTCCAAAGAAATTCCACATGGAAAATTGACTAAATTGCATTAAATGCGCGAGGAATATGTTAATTAAAATTCCCCAATGCCTAAGTAAATGCGCTTTCGCTTTATTAATAAAAATTAGATTTGAATAAAAAAGACCACCATTTGGTAGGTAAAAAAGACGCCGATATGAGCGATTGACCACCAAATGGTGGTTAAATGACCATTTGGGGGTGTGTTCCCAACCTGATGGGTGTGTTAAATTTATTGGTTGAAAAATTTCAACCTAAAGCTACAAATGAGCAGGAGACGAGAAAATGTGATGGGCCAGTATGAGTTCAAATCTGCCCCCCCCCCCCCCCCCGAATCTCTAGTCAGGTGCTCTACCAGTTGAGATATCTGGCTACTGGTGTTCAAAAATATAACCACGACTTTATTTTTATATGTTGATTAGTTTGAAATTGCATAAACATATTGGTGTCCCATGATAAGGTATGAAGTATTAGATATCAATATCAGTGTAACTGACAAAAGATTTTTTTTTTTCTGACAAAAGATTTACCTCAAGCTGTATCTTTAAAGTCACAGACTTCTTATGTTAAATTTTACCTACGTCTACTCTTGTTCTAAACGTGCTTCCTTTATTCCAGACACGTATGCAATCATTGGTGCCGGACCCAAAGGCTGACTACCGCAGTGTGGTGGATGCGTTTAACACCATTATTCGCCATGAGGGGTTACTGAGAACAATGAAGGGAGCTCCAATAGTTGTGCTGGGAGCAGGACCAGCACATGCATTCTACTTTGCTTGTTATGAATATCTTAAAAAAACTCTTAGTGGGGGTCAGAAGGGAAACCATATTGCTCATGGTAGGTGTTAAAGATAGTAATTGAAATGAAATCATGGTAATAATATACATGTACATTTAGTAGTTAATTGCGAAGATTTTTAGAATGCAATTCAAACATGCATAATATCAATGGCAGTAAAACTAGAAACTAACCAACATGACCAAAGTTCTGAATTTTAGACAGGATTGTTGTGAAGTTTTGTGATGGGTCAAAATGGCCATTTTCAGAGTTCAGGTAGACGGATCTAGAATCCTTTTATTAGCTCACCTGAGCCGAAGGCTCAAGTGAGCTTTTCTGATCACATTTTATCCATCGTCCATTAGGGCTGAAACGATTCACCGAAATATCGATATTGTTCGATATAAGTGCTCGGTTCAATTTCCGATTCACCATCTCGATTTTCGGTTCGATACGTTTTTTTATGCCCCCCTTCGAAGAAGGGAGGGCATATTGCTTTGCTGCTGTCCGTCGGTATGTCGGTCTGTCGGTCCACTTAGTTTCCGTTCATTTTCTTCACAACCGTTGCACATACTGAAATGAAATTTGGTATACAGATTTATCAGATGAATACCTAGGCCAAGTTCTGTTTTGGGTACGATCGTGCCATTTTTTACAGAGTTATGCCCTTTGGACTTAGAAAAAATCCAATTATAATCTAAGCATTTGTCCTTAAGGAGATATGAGTGGACATGTATCCAGTTAAAGATAATTAATGAGCTTAGTGTGGGAAGTTAGGCATCTCTGATCATGTGTTATCTTTATCTCCTGAGAATTCGATAACAGAAGGAAAGATCTCTCTTGTCTAATTCTCTTAATTGTAATTTATTGCTTGTCAAAACATTTACATGTATTTACCAGCCTTTTTATGCCCCCCTTCAAAGAAGGGAGGGCATATATTGCTTTGCTGCTGTCTGTTGGTCCATTTAAGTAAATTAAAAAAAAAAACCAAGTCTTTTAAATTTTAAATTTCATAATCCTAACAAATGTAAAAATATAGTTGTATCCTTATTCAAAAAATGTTAAATTAAGTAAAAACTTATTTTTTCATAATCATATACTTTACAGCAATCTGTAACAAATGTTAATGTTTTGAGAGGAATTCAGTTTGTCCCATGGGCATAATTATCAAGCACTGGTCAAGAAGAATTTTGATAGCAGAAATTTGCAGGTCAAATCAGAGAAATTAATGAGTTTATTGTCAGGAGCTAATTGGTAGTCTAAAGCGAGAGCATCTCTAGATATGATCATCTTAATTTATCTCTTGGGAGTTGGGTAAAAAGAAATGGCCTCATAGTTGCTTGTGTTAATTAAAGGCCGGTTTACACTATGCATCTTGACACATGCATCTAAACTAATGCTTCAATTTTGCCTCATGCATCTTCTTATTTACACTATGTGTCTTGATGCATGCATCTTTAGAATACTTTGTAAAGATGAAATTTCTCTACTTAAAAAAAATAACAATACCTTCAAATTTCATTTCCAGATTTATTTTAGCTGAACAAATCATTCTTAATTTCCTTTTTATGATAATTCTTGGAAGATGTAATTTATATTTATTCCAAAACAAAAACTACTCTATATTATAAAAATCAAATAAGTTTTTCAAATTGTAGTTTTAATCAGTATTTTCTGTTTTTGTGTATCTTGGGAAGCTATTTTTGAAAGTATATGAAAAAAATAAGGCTCATGATTCAATATCAACTCTGACCTTTCTTTTCATTGGTCAGTTCCATGCATCTTGAAGCACGGAATAGAACAAGTTCTATTCCATCGTTCAAGATGCAACACCCATTTAATTTGACACAAGGGGCTTTTACACTGTGAATCTTGACTCATGCATCCAAGATGCATGTGTCAAGATGCATAGTGTAAACCGGCCTTAAGAGTTCTTGATGGCTATAGTTCAGATAAAGATCTTTCAATTGGTGTAGTGTAATTAAAATAAATTGATGTTTTAGTGTATGATTAAAACTAAATTATTATTGTATAATATAATGAAAACTAATTATGCCCTCCTTTGAAGGAGGGAGGGCATATTGCTTTGCTGCTGTCTGTCGGTCCACTTAGTTTCCAGTCATTTTCTTTGCAACCGTTGCACATACTGAAATGAAATTTGATATACAGATATATCAGATTAATATCTAGGTCAAGTTCTTTTTGGGTACGATCGCACCATTTTTACAGGGTTATGTTCCTTAGACTTAGAAAAATTCCTGTTATTTGCAGTTTCTGTTCATTTTCTTTGCAACTGTTGCGCATACTGAAATGAAATTAAGCATACAGATTTATCATAGATATCTAGGTCAAGTTCGGGTTTGGGTACGATTGCACCATTTTTGACAGAGTTATGCCCCTTTGACTTTGTAAAAATTTCAAATTATTTGCAGTTTCCTTTCATTTTCTTTGCAGAGGTTGCACATACTGAAATGAAATTTGGTATACAAATGTATCAGATAAATATTTTGGTCAAGTTCTGTTTTGTGTATGATCGTGCCATTTTTGACAGAGTTATGCCCTTTGGACTTGTAAAAATTCCAATTTGGGGAGAGGGGGGCATAAGTGTTTTACAAACATTTCTTGTTATAATCAGGTTTGGTTAACTCTTTGAAATAGATCGGGTTCGACCTTATTTTAACAGTTTGACACACACGAGGGAGAAAATTGGGACGGTAAAGTTGCAGAGTAGGCTGCCTCTGCTATTATTTATACGAATAAAGTGTTCTTAATCAACAGAACCACAAGTATCAGAGATGTGCAATTAACAAAAATTAAAATTATAACTACGCATGTAATACATAAAGTACAACCGGTATTTTACTCATTTCTTGCTATCAAATTCCCAACCAGTGAATATTTTCCAGGCAGCATGCTCCTACTGTCAATAAATCTCCATAATTTTCTCCATTTTGCAGTACTTCCTGACTTATTTACTTCCAAAAACGATCGTTTTTTTCCTAATCCGAATTTCCTCCGTTTATTGTAAATACAAGCAGATATCTCATTAAATTATTTACGATCACTCAATCAACTGAAAGATCAGTGTGATTCACGTGAAATATATTTCTAGTGTATTTAAGGATTTAATATGAAAACAAAATGAAATTATTTTCATTCTAAATGAGCTAGTGCAAAATAATCAGAAAAGGAAAGATCTTCAGATATTTTTTTTAAATTCATTTTTATTTTCTGTCATAATCATTAATTTTATATGATTTAATTTTTTAGTGAGAATAAAATTTTAATTTTCAAAAGATTGACCTAGTACCCTGACTTTTTCAATGATTATTATTTTTTTTTTCAACATTTGTTTTATTTTAATTTTTGTCCCTATATTTGGGCTAATAACTTTTTACTTGGGGCTAGTAACTTTATTGCTGCCACTAGCCCATGGGCTAGTACTTGAATTTTTAGATTGCATACCCCTGGTAGTATATTTCTATTGTATCACCACTTTTTACTCTTTGTTTTTTTAAATCTGAATACGTTTTCTTTAACCTTATGAATAGTTTCGTTCTTAAATTGTATCGTATTGAAAAAATTGAATTGTGACACAAGTATTGCAATACGTATCGTATCGTGGAGGGGGCGTATCGTTTCAGCCCTATCGTCCATCCGTCCGTCTGTCCGTCCGTAAACTTTTCACATTTTCGACTTCTTCTCAAGAACCAATGGGCCAATTTTAACCAAACTTGGTACAAAGCATCCTTAGGTGAAGGGGAGTTTAAATTGTTAAAATGAAGGGCCAAGTCCCCTTACAAGGGGAGATAATCAAGAAAAGACAAAAATAGGGTGGGGTCATTAAAAAATCTTCTTCTCAAGAACCACTGGGCCAGAAAAGCTGAAACTTATGTGGAAGCATCCTTGGGTAGTGTAGATATTAAATTGTTAAAACCATGACCCCCTTGGGTTGGGCGTGGCCACAATAGGGAATTCAAATTTTACATAGAAATGTATAGAACAAATCTTTAAAAATCTTCTTCTCAAGAGCTACTGGGCCAGGAAAGCTGAAACTTTTATGGAAGCATCCTTGGGTAGAGTAGATATTAAATATTAAAATCATGACCCCCGGGGGTAGGGCGGGGCCACAATAGGGAATATAAGTTTTACATAGAAATATATAGAACGAATCTTTAAAAATCTTCTTCTCAAAAACCACTGGGCCAGGAAAGCTGAAACTTATGTGGAAGCATCCTGGGGTAGAGTATTAGGAAAAATCTTTTAAGAATCTTTTTCTCAAAAATCACTGGGCCAGGAAAGCTAAAACTTATGTGGAAGCATCCTGGGGTAGTGTAGATATTAAATTGTTAAAATCATGACCCCTGGCGGTAGGGCGGGGCCACAATAGGGAATATAAGTTTTACATAGAAATATATAGAACAAATCTTTTAAAATCTTCTTCTCAAGAACCACTGGGCCAGGAAAGCTGAAACTTATGTGGAAGCATCCTTGGGTAGTGTAGATATTAGATTGTTAAAATCGTGACCCCCGGGGGCAGGGCGGGGCCACAATAGGGAATCCAAGTTTTACATAGATACATTTAGGAAAAATCTTTTAAGAACCTTTTTCTTAAAAACCACTGGGCCAGGAAAGCTGAAACTTATGTGAAAGCATCTTTGGGTAGTGTAGATTCTAAAGTATTAAAATCATGAAAGGGGAGGGGGTAGGGGGGGCATGATAGGTATGGCAAGAGGGGAAATCTGGTAAAGAACTTCATCACTCAAGTTACTCAGGTGAGCGATGTGGCCCATGGGCCTCTTGTTTTTATTGCAATGGCAACCAATTAATATTATACTTTCATGTAAATTACTAGTACTTGAATCTGATTCATCAATGAACATATTATTGCTGGTGCATTGTCACTAGGGCTCATGGTCACTCTAAATCAGTCACAAAAATGTGCCTTGATGCAAGATCAATGAAATGGTAAGTATGTTTTAAAATGGAGGCAGAGACATGTATGTCAAAAGGTTCATTGTTTAGGAATTGAAAACCCTACATTAAGTACACTTATACATACCATACTTGATTATTGTAAATATTACATTCAAGAACGTGAATTGAAATTGCATTCAGTTTTTTTCAGATCTATCAACATGATCATTTATGCATACTTTTTACTGCATATGCATTCATTATGGATCTTTATTTTCAGGATAAACATACAGGTTTTAAAATTTTGGAGATCTTGTTTTCTACCTGAAAAAATACTTCTTATTTCTTTTTATATGCCAGGTACAATGCCAAACTCTAGTTTGTGTGCTACAAAATATCTGACACTAATGAGTCCTGTATTTTCCAGCTGAATAACTCAATGCTTAATAATGAGAAGATTTGATAATCGTAGTGAGACTTGGTCTCCTAGATGTTTATTCATAAAGGAGAGTTGCACTACCCTATTTAATCTGTCATCACAGTAATGTTATTCTGTGTTATATATTTTTAGGTGTAGCTGGATCAGTGGCAACACTGCTTCATGATTCTGTTATGGTTCCTGTTGATGGTAAGTCTAAGATTTATCTCCCTTGACTTAAAATTTACAAACTAGATTTCTGCTATATCAAAAGGAGTACTTGTAATTTGTTTGTTTTACAATACATCGTTTCAAATTTTAAATGCTTATATTAGTTGTACCGGTAGTTATATTAAAGAACCTGTAATAACTCACATGTAATGTAATCACTCTTGAAATAAGTTCATTTTCCTCCTAAAATTTTACCTTTTTATCATAGAGTTTCATTTTAAATAGGTGATGGTACGTTCTACCTCTTGTTTATTGTAGATTACTAGTATTTCTTAATTCATAAGAATCTGTAAAACATATTTTTACATGTTTAATCTTACAAAATAAGCTGAAGTGTGGTCGTGGTGAGAGTAATTCAATTACATTGTATATGGCAAAGTTTGACCTTGCATCTCAATTTTCAAGTGTATTCCTTGGTACAAGATATTTCTTTCGGTACCAATTTTTTGACCACATTACCTTATAGATTGATCAAACTTTTGAAAAATCTTGAATAACCTTGCTTATAACTTTTGAACAGTTTGCTTTAGGGGTTTCATATTTCACATGTCTTTTCTTCTAAAACTTTTCTATCGGTACCAACATTTTTGACCTCATGAAGTTGACCTTTGAGTTTTGCTTTCTTTTAAAAAAACTATGATTTTGGCCACGATTTTAAACAATAAGCATGATTAGAGCTAGGGCTTTCATAATTCACATGACATTGTGTGTTTTTGTGACAAGACCATTCTTTGGGCACCAATATTTTTTACCTTGGAGATTGACCAATACTAGTATTTAAAAAGCTTAAACTTGGCTATGAGCTACAATAGGGGAGGCATCAGTGTTTTACAATTACATCTTGTTTTTCAGTGGTAAAGCAAAGAATGCAGGTATTCAACAGCCCTTATACAAGCTGCAGGTCATGTGCAAAAGCCATTCTTAAGCAGGAAGGCATCTTTGCATTTTACAGAAGCTATACCACACAATTGACGATGAACATCCCTTTCCAAAGTGTGCACTTTATGACTTACGAATTCATGCAAGATATACTAAACCACGACAGAAATTATAGTCCAGTGACTCATATGGTTTCAGGCGCCACAGCAGGTGCGGTGGCAGCCTCAGTGACTATGCCACTTGATGTATGCAAAACGCTCCTCAATACACAAGAGAGTTGCACTAGGACTCATGCATCTTACATCAATGGCATGATATCTGCTTTTAGGACGGTTTATGAGTTTCAGGGCCTGACTGGGTTTTACAGAGGCCTGACGGCTCGAGTGATATTTCAGATGCCTGCCACTGCCATCTCCTGGTCTGTGTATGAAGGGTTTAAGTACATCATCACCAAAAAGCAAGCAGTAGAAGACACTCTGCCAAAAACCCTCTCTATCCGAGCTGCCTCAGCGTCTTCTCATCCTGACTAAATGGAAATAAAAAAAATTTTCTTGTTTAGGTTTTTAAAAAAAGTCAAAAATCTAAAAAAAATCTGTCAAATGCCCAAGTAATATTTATTTACACATGTACCATGATGCTTACAAAAAAAGAGCTTAAATTGCTTCACATACCTAGAGCTAAAAAGAAATTTATGAATCGTTGCATGCAGATGATTATGATTGAATTGAATAGATTTCACTTGATTAGCCTCTTTAAAGAATTTAAAAAAAAAGTTTTTTAAGTATTCTAAACTTTTATTCTGAATTCAGTAACTTTGATACAACAGATTTTAGTAGAAATTAAGGTGAATGGAGATGCTTGCGATAAAGTCCCCTTTTGATAAGTCAACCCAGGAATTTACCAAAATATTTAGATTACCGGTATCTATCAACTGTCTCTGGATCGGTGCTATCAAACAAAAGTATTTGTGTCTTGCTTTCAAGAAAATCCTGTGCAACATTTCAAGTGTACTGGTAGTTTGAAATAAAGAATTTTTTTTAAATTTGTGCACTTCAGAAGAGATAGAAATTAATTTTTTCTAATCATGGAAGATAAAAAGAAGAAAAATGTAGTAATCCAAATCAAAATAAGGAGATTCTGGGAAAAAATTAAGCTCAGCTGAAAAAAAGCTTTTATCTGCATGAAAGGGAAAAAAAATCAAATAGAAGAGAATATAGAAAAAGGATCTTCAGGCAAAGGATTTCTAAAATTCAGAAAAAAAGGAATATTGGAAGGAAGATTTTGAAGGAGATTGTGTTATTTTCAAGTGCAAAGTTTCAGTTTTGAATCAAAGAAAATGTGAATATATTATTGTGTTGTCATTGGAAAAACCTCTGCAATGCACATTTTGTGAATTTCCTCTGGATCATGGTATGTCAGCGCGATGGACAGCTACATAACGAGATCTCAGTTTTTATTTTTTTTTTTTATAAAGCATTTACATATGTTGGCCACATATAGAAAATAAGTTGCTTCCATGTTTCCATGTATTTGACATTACTTTGTTATTTATCAGTAAGGTATAACTAATATATGCATTATGTACCCAATACTGACAATAGATGTACATGACCTATAGAGAAATGTTAATCATAGAATGCATCTTAACTACCCTGGTATCTTTGTTAAAATGTGAAGATGTGCAGACCATTCTGGTTGTTTATATGCATACGCAGCATCACAAATGTTTAGTAAACTCACCATGTATTAGACTTTTTTAATCAAAGGAGTCAGTATAGGGACTAGAGAGTTAAAAATTAATGGAAATATCAATGATATTTTGAAGTACATGTACAAATGTGGAACTTTTGGAAGCGTAACATAAATATAGCAAAAATAAAAAATAATTATCATAAAATATTTGTAATTTTGATGAAATGAGCATCTGCTATCTATACATGTACATGTGTATTTGACTTTTGTTTATAATCATTTGAAATTGGATTTCCTTGTATATATTTATTTTAGAAATCTTAATGGTGCATTTTAGTTCCTTGACTTAATGTCATATACATGGACACAAAGAAGTCAGTTTTCTATAATGTGGCCATATTGTTTATCTGTTGCTGTGTCAGTTGCTATGGACAGCTACCCAGTGATATTTTTGTTGTGTTTGGAGTGTTTCTGTGTGAGAATTGAGAACGTTCTACACCTGAACAAATTTTGTTAATGTTTTTGTACATACCTTACATATTATATATATCTCCATCGTGTTAAAGAAGGCAAGGATAAATTATGCATTTATTGAATTAAATCTTTTTTATACATGGAAAAAATGTCATGTGAGAATGGAGAACATCTACATGCATAATATAAAAAAGTCATTAGTATTTATACCTTGATGCACCTGTCATTATTGAAGCATGTCTTTAAGCCTCATACATGTACATGTATACAACTGTGTGATAATTTTTAAAGAAAAATGGAAGCTTTTACAGGTTTTAGGAAGATTTTTTCCCCTTTAAATTATCACTGCTTTTTCAGTATGATTCTAGAATTAGTAGGAATGCCTATAGAAAAAAATTGTAGAGATGGAAGGGTGGGTTGGGTGAAGTCAGATTTTATATCAATCTTACATGTAACAAGTTTATCTTTTGAAAATTGTACTTAATGAACTTAAAACCAGTTTAAATAATATCTCATCATTATCAGGATTATGCAAAATTTGAATCAACTGTTTGTATGGACTCAAATCATCCTAATTCTTGACATTTAGATGCATCTCAAATTGGATTATGCTAAATACTTTGTGTATGCATGAACTTTAAAAATGTTTATTATGTTAATAGAAAGGAATTACAACATATGTATTTTAATATTTTCAAAAAAAAAATTAAAATGGTAATTTTAAATTAAATTTACTTCCATTAACATGCGAAATGTAAATAACTATGATAAAAAAACAAAAGATAAAGTTCTTGTTGATTTTATTACAGTTATGCATCAGATTCAGAATATGCCCTGATAATTGTATTTGTTTCTGTCAGACTACTTGTATGTAATTATTTTATTCAAAAAATCCTAAATAGTTCAAGCATCTTAGGGTATATCTGAACAACAAAAATGTCCTGCAATTATATATTTTTTGCTTTTGCACCACAAAACAGTGGAAGAGAGCAATATTTTGGCCCTGTCCTGTTGGGCATGTGTAATACTTTGAAATGATTTATCTGAATATTTTTCAACTAATGCCCTAAATCTTTAGTAATTAGTCATTCTCTTTCAATTTAGCAAGAAGTACAGCTGAACTTTGGTATCTCAAACTCAGATACCATGGATATGTCAATGGACTTGGAATTCCAAAGCGTCTAATGCATGAATATGAACATGATGAAGAGAAAGTCAAATTTTGTATCCCATTTACTACATGATAGAATGGCAGTAGCTAAAATACCAGTCACTTAGTAAACTTTATGATCTTAATGTACCAGGTACATGAATGCCCCATTTTCTCTATCTAAAATATCAGATATGTATGAAATGCATGTTTTTTTTTCCTGAAGCTATATGTAATATTGATTTCAGGTACATTTTCTACTGCTGAAACCTATACATCAGTCATGATCTGATCATAAAAATTGATTATGGAGTGTTTTTTTAATGGATCATGTACATCCTCTGTACTGTCATTGTAAAGAGACACTTTGAGCTTGTAATCAGGAAATATAAAGTGGGCATTAAAATGGAGGCTGTATAAACTCCATATCTACATGATTTATAAATCCTTGAGTCATAAGATTTGTCATGATTCCTGGATAAGTCATGGCTCCATTTAATCTTTCTAGTACATGGCCACTGACTGTAAGGCAGATAAGCATGTAAAACTGAAAAGCTTTTGGCCCAGCAGATAATTATAGGGGAAAAAAGAGTCTTAATCCTTCTGTGGATGACTGCATGGGGATGTAAAACATTTTAGAACCATGAGATGATGCTGCAATTCACATTTAGCATTAATTTTATTGTAACATGTACATGTATGAAGGCTATCACTCATCTTTCATCACCAAATCAGGGTGGAATGATTCCAATGAAAAGACAAATATATATAGGTTTATTCTGCTTTGTTGGCTGGGTGCTTCATTATTTCATTTATACGGTTTCCTTTGAATTTTTTTTTTTTTTTTTTTTGCTTGTGATGTGTAAGAAATTCTAATTGTGATAAGAGGTTGTTCCTATTAAATTATTCTTGTAATTATAATGGTTTTTATATTAAGATTTAAACATATGTGAACTGCATCAATTTATTGAAACTTATAGAAGTCTTCATCTAGAAAAAAAATGGTTTTAACACATTTAATGTTATTTTGAAATACAAACATTGAAACAAAATTTAATTATTTATTATTTGGTTTCTTAGTATCTAAAATTTGGTTATTCCTCTTTCATCTAATGGTTAAATTAAAAAAAACAAACAAAAAGAATCAAACCCTATGTGTTATATGTAAATTAATTATGTTTAGTGTAAAATGATAAAAATGAATTTTTAAAGTTTTTTTTTTTCAGGGAGACTCGTTTTGCACTTCATTATTTGTGTACTGTTTTATTATAATTTCATTTCTTACCATCATCAGAATCTTTGTCTGAAAGTATGATCACTGATAAATATATCCACCCTTAATTACTGTGTAGGAAAAGAAATTTTATGAATTATGCATGAAAATTTGGCACATTGGCATTAAAAGGAAAGAGTACAAAACCAAAGGGAGAGAAATGTGTTTGAGAGGTGATGTTAAATGCATGAAATTGATAAGCATTTTATTTTGAATGGAAATTACTTAATATCATAGTTTGTTAATCAATTAATTAAAATGATTTACATCATGAATGTTTGTTTCTTATTGATTATTTCTTTTTACTTTATTGGTAATTAAGATTTTCTGATTAAAATTCAATGCATAAATAATGCCTATACTTGTAAAATGCTTAGTACTTTATAGGTGTATACTGCATTGAATCTCCCTTGCATAATTCATAAACTGTTACATTGCTCAATTTAAGTCAATTAAAAATGATATAAGAAAAACTTAAATAACTTGGATTTAATTTTTAGCACACCACATTGAAAGATAAAACGAGCATTTCTGATAACATTTTCCTGTTCAATCATTGTTTGTTGCCTGTCTGTCTGACAACTTTTCACAATTTCAACTTCTCTTGAACCTCTGGCCGGGCCACCTTTAAACCAAATTTGAAAAAAAGCATCCTTGGGTATAAAAGGGATTCCAAGCCCCTTTCCAAAAGAAACTGGAGGTACTGTGAGCAGTGAGCTCACTAAATGATACCCCCCCCCCCCCCCCCCCCCGCTTCCCATATGGTTACAGTGGCAAAGTCCATGTTTTGCACTGGGAGACCCAGATAAGAGTCGGATCAAAAAGTAAAATAGGAGGTGCACAATGGCATGTAATAATTAAAGAATCTATGAAAGTACATGCATAATCAAATTTTATTCTGTGGTTTAGGAGGTGTTGTGAATAAGAGATGGGTACCCATCAAAATGTGATATTAATAGTGGTATTCAGCATATTTTTAGTACATGTATATACTTATTTACACATGGTTCATAGGTTGAGGTAATTGCTAACGTGAAATTTAAATACATATTGCAAAATATAAACAAGTACCACTGTGCATATGAAGTTTTATTACAGCTAGTAACTTGAAAGGTTTCTTTAACACTGAGTTAAACACTAATTTCAGAATAACGAGGTCAAAGGAAAAGTCAAGGTCACTCTCATCAGTATGTATCAACATATGATATAGCTTCGAACTTTTTTTGTACCAATTTTTTCCCAAACATATGGTGGCATATTTCTGCCCCTTGTTTGCAAGTTATTTTTCTCTCAAATATGTCGACATGCAAGATAGATATGTTGACATGCAAGATAGTTATGTCAACATGCAACATAACTATGTTGACATGCAAGAAAATTGCAATCAAATAAATATTATAAAAAATCTTCTAAAATCTCAAATATTGCCCACATGTGACATCAAACATGCTAGATGCTACTTATTTATGTTAACATGCAAGATAAATATGTTGACATGCAACTTATTTATGTTGAAATGCAACTTAGTTATGTTGACATGCGAGATAAATATGTCAACATGCAACTTATTTATGTAAACATGCGACATATTTATGTCGACATGCAACTTATAAGTTGCATGTCAACATATTTATCTCGCATGTCAACATAACTAAGTTGCATGTCGACATGAATAAGTTGCATGTCAACATAAATAAGTTGCATGTCAACATAAGTTAGTTGCATGTCGACATAAGTAAGTTGCATGTCGACATAAATAAGTTGCATGTTAACATATCTAAGTTGCATGTCAACATATTTATCTTGCATGTTAACATAAATAAGTAGCATCTAGCATGTTTGATGTCACATGTGGGCAATATTTGAGATTTTTGAAGATTTTAAAAAATTATATTTGATTGCAATTTTCTTGCATGTCAGCATATTTATGTTGCATGTTGACATAGCTATCTTGCATGTCAACATATCTATCTTGCATGTCGACATATTTGATAGAAAAATAACTTGCAATAAAGGGGCAGAAATATGCCACCATACAAACACTATCACCTACCCTCCTTTGACTACATTGCAACGTGTCTGTTGAAAGTGGGGGCTATAAACCTAAGCCCCAATCTTTAATGCCTATATATATTATGTCTATCTTTGAAAAAATGGGGGCTAAGCCCCCACCCTTGGTTCCGACGCGTATGAGGTGGGGCTATATAAAAGGTAGGATTTCTTCTTCTTTAAAAATCTACTTAAAGTCAAAGTCAGGATTGGACATATACTTGTTCTCTCTTTTACTTTTTGGGGGTAGCTGCAGAACTGTAGCGTTATGGTTTTATAAACCTAAATAGTCGTTAACGCTGCAGATCCCGTTATGTCAAAAATGTGCAATTTACGGCGCAAGATTTTTTGCACACTGTTTTGGAAACTTTCTCCACTTTCCAACATTGGTAGATGATCTACCTTTCCTTCCTTAATTCTAGTCACATTTTTAAAAATAAATCTATATATATACTAATTATACATCTCCCAACCCTCTATAATCGTCTCTATAAGCGATTAACTCGCTTGAATTAGTATTTTTTGCAATCCATCAGACAATTCAATCAAACCAGTTTATCGCCTGTACAGGCGACTATAAAAGGTTGAGGGGATGATAAAATATACAAATTGCTTTTGATGTGTCTGGAATTAGGGGATGAAAGATAGAAGATTTGCCAAAGTTCGAAAGTGGAGAAATTCTCCCAAGCAGTGCGCAAAAAAAAAAAAAAAAAAAAAAAGCGCCCGTAAATTGAAGTTTTTGCTTTATGGGATCTGTAGCGTTATGGTCAAAGAGTATATAATTATATAAAACCATAACCGCTAGAGTTCTGCAGCTACATTTGGGGGATGGATGTGCAAAAGGCCCATCCTCATGATTTCTCTGTCTCGAAATGACTAGAATTCTCTTCAGGCATGCAATTGCGACAAAATATAATTATTCTTTATCGCTGGTGGTGGTGGGGGGGGGGGGGTGTTCTTTGTATTCAAGTAGCTGGTTTCAATACTTCTTTACTCACCGTTATTGTCTCAAAATGGGAAAATTTAAATATAATTCTGCGCACAAGTTATAGAATTTACTGGTTTTGTAATTTTTCAGAAGCTATCTTAAACAACCGAATTTTTTAAATTAAAAAAAAACCCTTTTTTTTCAAAAGAAGAAAACACGAATAAGAAAAAATGTACTAGTTTAATATGCTACCCCCCTCCTTTCCCGAATTTAATTCATTAATAGCTGTTAAAAAGTTGTAGCAAAGTTATTTTGACGCACTTTTGATATCACTTTACTCTACTGATCTATACCTTCCTTTAAAAATCAAGAAATTGACACCCAAAGTCGAGGCAAACTGAGTTGTTTTAAGATCGGGATCGGGATGTAAATTCCAATGGCTGTCTTGTTGAAAAAAATTTCGCCAGGTGAGTAATAAAAAGATTCAGATATTTATTGTCATTTGAGAGGATTTAATAGTTTGTAAATTATTGACTTATTGTCTGCTACAATCAGGTAATGATCAAAATTAGGTAACAGTTATATAACACTGAATGCACAATGCAGTCCCGAATTTCCTTTAATTTTCACATGTAAGTTTTAACAAAAGCTAATCTTAAGAAAAGATAGGAGAGTAATTGCTCTAATCACCATCAAATACAGAAATAGACTCTCCAAACCATCGGTTGAATCCGATGAATTAACTAATTATTTAATTTAGGGCTAAATACCGGTAATCATTTCATCCTGGTCCTGTAAAACTACACAGCTATAGTATTGGTATAGTTAGAATGATCTAACTGTGTCTTGGTACAAGCCCTAACCACAGTTAGAATACGTCCCATATACTTGCAATCCGCTCCGAAACGATTTTGAAGAATATAAAAGGATTTGCACTGGAAATAACTACCAAATTAATCAAAACAAACCTTTTTGAGATTGCTTATGCCTTTTATCCTAGAAAATAATCCATCTTAAGACGAAAATCCAATAATTTTCTCAACGTTTTTCTCTTGCTTCAAATTTACCTGCCATGTTTACATTCGGAACTCTCTAGATTGTTCGTAGTAAATGCACTGAGTTATAGTGAGTACGAGTTATCACCCATGTTTCTTTTGCTACATTACGAATACACGGAACGAACTCTATCGTTAAACCGGGTCCGTAGGACAATATCATTTTAACGATAGAACATGCTATCTAGTATTGGTGCAGAAGCTGGATGCTCTACGTATGAACAATTTAATGCTGACTGACGATTTTCGTACTAATTGTTAGTCAATTATTTATACACTGGCTTGACGACAGATTTTTTTCCATTATTTCCCGATCATGACAAGGAGCACACGGCGGGTGTGACCGGTCGGCAGGGGATGCTTACTCCTCCATGACAACTGATCCGACCTCTGATGTTTTCAAGGTCTGTGTTTGCCCTGCTCCTATTTTTTATTGTTTTATGGACTTTTGATCTGGAATACTGTTTGTTATCTCCATATGTTTCATTTGGAAGTTGATTTATATTCTAGGCAATACAAGCATCGTCTTCATTACAAGATATTGATTTTATTCAATACATGTCTCTTTAAAAAAATCTAGGATGGCAACAGCTCAACAACTGGGGGTTTGTAACAATACGTTGTATTCAGAAAGGCAACTTCAAAAAGAGAAAAAGCAACGTGATGTCTAAACGGGTATTTGAACTTGTGACTGAAGACATAGTGATTGTTCCCCCTAGACCTCCCCGAGATGTGTCCTGTACCAAGTACAAGAGAGCAAACAAGATGTATGAGGAGGAAGTGGTAAGGGTTTTTTCAATATTTTATTTATTACTGTAGAAGTACTTTTTTCCGCGTGGTATTAATTTACGCTATGTACGCGGTCATAAATTTTCCGCGGAAATTTGTCCAAGCGTACTTAATATAAATGTAAGGCAATTAGTGACAATCTAGAAAATCCGCGTAATTTTCTACCCGTGGATTAAACAGAAAATGAGATTCCGCGGAATTATGACCCCGTGGAAAAAAGTACGTCTACAGTATTTTAAACTATTGTTGAAATATTGTTCTACTCCATATTCATCAACAGGCTGGGATGTCAGTAGACAGTCACATGTTGTGGTGCAACAAGCTGTCGAAAAGTCATGTATGCTGATAATTTTGCTTCAGGGCAAATGTTAGCATTTGAAATATTGAAAATTTTACAGAAATACATGTACATTTAGTTAGTGCATTCTTCGTGATCAGTGTGTTAGAACTTATAATTTTTTTTTAGTACAGTAACAACTAACAACCAAAGACTAAATTAGATCATTCAGTAATTGTAAGACTATACTAAATGATTAACCTTTATGCTCTTGTGTCTTATGAGAAAACCAAATGCTATTACAATGTAATCTGTTACATGCAGAGTCATAGTCAGATGCACTATTATCTAATACTAAATCCTTCGTTACAGCCCAATCCCTATTTTGAGTACCGGAACAAACTTTGTCAAGAATTCTTAGCAAGAGACGAGAACTTCTTCATCTGTCACAGAAACCCGGTCACAGCCAAAGTTGTTCACGATTACAGACTGACAATGAAAGAAAAAGGCTTCCGTCTTCAGTTTGGAATGACGAATACTTTGTTAAAGTACTTATTTTATCTCAAGCTACAACATTTTGAAAACTATTTTAACCAATAAAACTTTTCTGGTTTGATTTAAAAGTTTCTGTTGTAGATGGCTTTTAGTAAAGCAAGTAGTAAAAGATGACATTTTAAGAAAAATTAGAAAAACAAATCTTTTTAGATGTCATTTTATCACTTCTAATTTAAGTGACTTCAGCAGGTATAGCAGAAGTAGAGAAATATGAATTGTTTTCCTCTGTGCAGTGTTATAATTATGCATGATATTAGATTATATATGTTGTAAAAGGGAGACAACCTCTTGTTAAAGTAACAATGAACAATTAATGTTGAACTTTTTTTTTTACAGGAAAAATATACCAGGCACTAAGTTTGAAGCTCTAGCTCCATATCTTGTATCCCATAATGTCTTGATCACAGGTTCTGAAGGAGCAGACTTTCGAAAGCTTCCAGCAGTCCTCAGAAAAATGCCAGAATTTATTTTATTAGGTATGGAATACTCTACTCTGATTCTGAATGATTTAATTTACAAAAATTAAAGGAATATTTCAAAAGCCTATTTATTGAGTGCACTTACATGTATCTGAAAGAAATATTAAAATGTTGTATATTACCGGTATGTATTTTTTAAGAAAAAAAGTCTTCTTAGATGTGTGTAAAATAAATGTTTTAAACATACCAGTGAAAAATAATACATGTCTTTTCAGGAGGTTATATTGATGGCATTTTATTGTCACGAGAGAGCATATTACAGTATTCCAAATTCCCTGATATTGAAGTGGGACACAGTGAAATAGCTGGTGTTTTAAGTCTAGCTGCTGGTGGAAAAACATCCACATTGCTGAATTCTCATGCACAAACTCTTGGCGCTAATTTAAAGCAGTATGAAAAGCAATTACATGGGGATGATGAAAATGATTGATGATTCAGTGAATTATTTTGTTTCTTTTTATATTAAAAGTATAAAACCTATGACTCTTAATTTCTATATAATAAGACTGTGCAGAAGGTATTTTGTTATAATGTCAGAGACCAGAAGAGCTATAGTAAAGTGTCTGTCCATCTGTCTGTGAACAATTTTTCAAAAAGCTACCTCCCCCTACAGTTTTGGTCTGATTTCAATATAACTTGGCACAAATAAGTCTACACTAAGATACATAATTTAATGCATACTTTAATGAACAGTGTTGCCATGGTTGCTAAAAATAAAAATATGACGTGGCACACAAGTAGACTACACAAGAAAGACAAGATACATTATATAATGCATCTGTTTTTGATTTTAATGAATGGAAGTCTGGGTTCAGGGCCATAAAAATGAAACAAGCTCACTTTTAATCTCGTTCTTTCTTTTTCAAAAAGGATCAATAGTGGAAAAGTGAGTCAGAGATAAAATTATGAGCTTATCACAGTTTTATGGCCAAGGGGCCTGTTCTTAGATATGGGCCTGAGACAAAGTAATAAAATATGTTCTTCAGTATGTACAAGACATTCTTGTACACCCTTCAGCATTTTATCAGAAGGGAGGGGGGGGGCACCAGATGCCTAAAATAGCATGCATTGCTATATGTCCATTATCCTAAAATCAAGGAAAAAAAACATCTATTTGTAAGAATTTGTCAGCCCCAGATGTCCACCATGGCCTTGCTTTAAACCCACTGGGGGCCTCATTGCAGCCCCCAGACCCCCCTGCCTTCTACTGCCCCCATTACAAAATTCCTGGATCTGCCACTGAATGTCAAATGTAGTAAAATTCAATCTTTTCCATTTGCATTTTTTAATCTTTATTTGTATTAATTCTATAATTTTCCTTTTGCATTGTGAAATTTTCCATTTGTATTATATAATTTTCCACTTGAATTGTATATTTTATTTGTATTCTATTTATTTTTTTATTTATATTTTAAAAAATTCTTTGCATTTATGGAAGAGCATGTTCTTTATTTGTATGAACAGATCAATTTCTAAATCGAGGTAAATTATTGACAAACAAGTTGAGGAAGCAAGAATATCAGCAATCTCATTTAATTCATCATTTTGCAAGTTCTTTGGTCGATACAATGACGTCATGAACAAATACAATTTTTCATTATGTCAAATGCTGACTTTTTTTGCATACTGATTGTTTGACCATTATTTACAAACTGAATTGTCCACGGATGTTTTTCCCGAAAATGACAAGGAGCACACAGCATGTGATGCTCACTCCTCAATGCATCTTCGCTAGCCAAAGGTTTCTGATACGCTACTCTCCTCATGATGTATGAGAAGAGTAGCGTATCATTAAATTTTGGCTAGCGAAGATGTGAATTAGTACATTGTAGCTTGATCTAAAACAAAATAAATGACATTAATAGTATGCAACTTCAAACGTCGCAATACTCGATCTTTTCCATTTGTATTGTATAATTTTTATTTGTATTCTATAATTTTCCATTTACATTGCAAAATTTTCCATTTGTATTATGCAAATAACGAACAGTATTCGAGCTTGAAGTCTATTAAACATGACCAAAGTGAAGCAGAGCAAACACGGACCTCCAAAACATCAGAGATGGGATCATATACCATGGAGGACATCTACGCTAGCCAAGGTTTTCTGATACGCTACTCACAATAGCTTTTATTTTGATCACTCGAGAATTTTCAGAATCGGGTTAAAATACAAATCCCTACATAGCGAAATACTCTGCGCTTTGCGCATAGTATATTATTATACTATGGGTTAAAATTTATTCCCGAAACAAGTGCCTGTGTGCGCTATGTAGAGATCTGTACTTTAGATAAAATAATCAGTTTGGATTTTCATATAATATACTAGTATAACAATATAGAGGGCGCGTTTGTTC